TAAATTCAATTCATTTAAGGTTTGTCTGAAATGAAAGACCTAAAAATGTTAACTTAACATCAGTCAATGGCATACCGTCCAATGGACCACAGAGCTGTTTCTTTGAAATGGAAAACTGCATTGAAACCGTTTTCTTTTCATTTACTATTAATTTGTTATAACAAAACCAATGTGAAATATTTGATATTGTACCATTTACGGTTTCTTCACTTCAAAGAATATTCGTATCATCCGCAAAGAAAACAATTCTTCCGTTTCTAATCGTCGATGGCATATCGTTTACGTATAATAGGAAGAGAATAGGACGTAAAATCGATCCCTGCGGAACTCCACATGCAATTGGCAAAGAATTGGAAAGGTGTGAACCTAATGTTCCATTATTCCAATGAGGTATTTCTACTCTGAGATCGTTGTTCAAGGTACGAACATAACCAATCTAGAGCAATACCATGAATTCAATACGAAGGCAAATTTGAAATTAAAATGTTGTGATCAATGACGTCAAAAGATTTTGAAAGATCGAAAAATATTCCAATAGGTGCTTCGCTTTGATCCATAGATGAGGCGTCAACTTTAAGAAAAGAAAATATGGCTGTTTTCGTAGATTTTGATTTTCGAAATCCATGTTGGCAATCTGAAAACGCGTCGTGTTTACTAAGAAAGGTTTCCATTCTTACTTTCAAATGTCTAATATTTTTGAGAAAATTTTTTAAATGTTCGGGGGCTTCATGTAAAGTACCCCCAAATTTTAAAGAATATTTTTCAAAATCTGAAAGTTTCGACTCGACCTAAATGGACAAGGATTTCTTCAATTTGGAAAAACTCCTACGCATGGTTTAGGCGCTAGTGTTGTTCACATACACCAGACAGATGGACTGATGGACGTTTTGAAAATAAACACTTTTTCGATATCTGTAAACCCCAAAAGGTGTATTTCCGTCATCATCAGCCCGAAACCGATTTTCCGCAGCATCACATAACTTTCCCTATACTACATATATTACTCTGCGTATACGTTCGTACACCGGAAAGTAAAAAATTGATGAAAAATACTTCCATTTACGGTAAAAATTTACACCTAATCATTTTAATTTATTATTTACTTGGCCGTAATGGCATTACGCCCTGAGGAACGTCGCAGAATGGCGACCGAAACGTCGGCACCTTCGCCATGGACGCGGCGTCACCCGGATAGCCAAGTAAATGCTGACTTCGGCCGCGGAAGCCTAAGCTCTCATTTTAATATATGTTTTCAAAACAAATTAACACCTAGGGAATACATTACCTTGACGTTGGTGGTGGATCTTGAGTACCCCCGTTTTCATGAGAGCTATGCCGGCGGTAGCGTAGCTGATAAAACCTCCCTTGCCGGACAGATCGATGGGGAGGGGTCAGACGAAGAAGTACTCCAGAAGAGGACGGGGACGCAAGAAGTGAACATCCGGTGCAGTGTGCTGAAGAGAATCTAGAAACGACGAAGATTCCGTCAGAATCCAAACCTACATTTCTTCCGAGGGAGTATGATCTCGCCAACGGAACAAGGAGATTTCAAAAGAGATCTGGGTAGGAGGAGTTCCAAAGCTCGGTGAGGCCATTCTCCCAGGGGAGTAAACCCTACAAAATGCTGGTCCTTCCAGTAGGGGTGTGGGACGATGGTTCAACACCTCGCCGTTCATGTAAAAACTATCTAAAAAGTATCTAAGAGGTCCACTTTTGAGAATACGGACGGTAACCGGAAACGAACTATAGGCAGAGGAAGTGGATAATGAATATTGGAACATGGAATACTCAAGATTTGGGAAATAAGATAAGGTGGCAATTAAGAAACTTCGAGATTGGATCCTATGATCATATTTGGGGCAGAGTACCAAAAGATCAGAGGGGTAATAAAGGGATTCCCGCCCCCCCCCAAAATCAGAAACCAAATTAAAAAGTTGGAAAGCCATAGATAAGAGGCTGATTAAAGTAAATTTGGAAAGTTTTAGACACAAAATGACGATACTTGGAGTATATGCGCCTAATGAAATTGAAGATACTAGTGTTTTAGAGAAATTTGGTTCAAAAATAGATGGAGTAATCAGTGAATGTGGAATAAATAGAGAATTTATCTTAATGTGTTTTAATGATAGAATGGGAAAAGAGTGTTCCAAAGTCATTGGACAACACCGAGAAGAGGTGGAAAATTCAAATGGAAAAATATTGAATCAATTATGTGAACAGCATGAACTTATAATTAGAAACGGCCACTTCCAACATAAGGATAAGAATATGTTCACTTGGGAAGATAGGGTAAAAGGAAGGAGATCTGTGATAGATTACGTAATCACTAGACAGTATTTAACTGGTAAAGTAATAGACGTCAGGGCCCAGGGCCACACAGGCCCAGAATGTAGATCCACCCATTACCTAGTGAAGGGCAAAATTATGTTTCCACACATAAAACAAAAGGAAACGGAGAGCAGAGAACAAAAGGAAGACAAAAATGAAAATAGTGAAGGTAGGAAATATAATATGGCGGGTCTATCACAAAAAAATATAAGATAATTATTTTGAAACAGATTGGATAATTAACAGAATGAAAACTTACTTGGATCAAATAAGGAGATATATTAGCACCACAAAAATAGTCTACATCAAGCGACTAAAGAAGAACTTTGAGAAATACCTTTAAATAAAAAAAGGAGAGGGAGGAGCTATTCGATTACTCAAGACTTGGAGCAGGAAATAGAGAAGAAGAAGAGACTGTATAAAAATGGTTGAGTACCAAGAAAGAAGAAAATAGGTAGGAATATAAAATCAACGAAATAGAGTTAGAAACATCATAAGAAATGAAAAACAACAATCATGGGAGCGTAAATGTCAAGAAGTAGAAATATACATACGTGGAACAAAAACAAGTGAGATTTGGAAGTTCATAAAAAGGGTAAAATCTCCCCAAATGGAAAAAAGTCTGCATACAAAGCATATTTGTAAGCAAATGGGAAGAGTACTTTAGAAAATTATTACATGACGGAAGATCAGATTTTCTTGGAACTACAGAAAGGGAAACGATATCTCCGGCCAGGGAAATTACAGTAACCGAAGAGAGGGTTAAGAGATGTATCAAAGAAATGAAAGGCGGTAAGGCTCCGGGTCCAGAAGAAATCCCAAGCGAATTGATAAAGAATAGAACACCAAAGCTGGTGCGAATGATGAAGCTAATGAATAGGTTTATAAATAAAGGAAATACCAGAAGTCTAGAAAATGGCTTATATAACACATATATATGAAAGGAAGGAAAGGCATGTGAGCAAATTATAGATGGATAGCAGTGGCAAACACGTTCGGTGTGCCAGTCAAAGTTAATGGGAAGTTATGAATAAAAGTAATGTAAATAAAATCTTAATAAATGCGGTGAACAAATTGCATATAGATCAAACGGGAAAAATGAAAGTTGGAAAACAGATGACCCAAACCTTTCATATATCGAAAGGACTACGGCAAGGATGCTGTTCGTCCCTTATCCTCTTTAAAAGTGTATGTTAATGCGGTGTTACAGGTATGGAAAAGAAAATGTGCTTGATGATGCACTTGATGATAGCCCACCACTCTATACCTTGCAGTTCGCTGATGATCAGGTACTGATGTCGCAAGAACAGAAAGATATTCAATATGTGACTAGGAAGATAAAAGAAGATTGAGTGATAGGGACTAAGCCTCAACCTAGAAAAAAAAAGTATACTTGGTCACTAGGCAGTACACATGACGTACTGATTATGGAAACTGGAGAAATAATAAGAACATCAGAGGACGTAAAGTACGTGGGAACAACAATAGGAAAACAGGGTTTTTATGGAAAGGAATGTGAAACGCGGTTCATTAGAGGAAGAAAAATTATAGGAGCCCTGAATTCAGTAATCTGGGATCCAAACATACGCAAGAAAACGAAAATTTGAATATATAAATGTACGATTGAAAGTGTGTCATTGTATGGAGCAGAAATATGGCAGATTCCAGAACAACAGGAAAGAAAATTGAGAGGCCTGGAAACGCATTTACTCCGGAGATCTGCAGCAAGATCTAGGAGGAAAAGAATTAGAAATGAATAGGTTAAGAAAATAATGAATCTGCAACATGATATTATAGAGGAAATTTAAAAGAAACCACTCCCATGGTTTGGACCTGTACAGCGAATGGACGAGAGAATACTTCCCAAAAGATCATTAGAATGGCAACCAAGTGAAAGAAGGATACGAGGCAGACCAGATCAGAAAGATAATCGAGAGTTGAAATTACCTCCTGATTCCTGGAAAAAGAGAGAAGACTGGAGAAGAAGATTAGGCGCTGGAAGACCGAAGTAGTGGTGAAGAAACTGGCAAGAAGGAGAAGAAGCAAAACAAATTAATTAGTTAATACTTTAATGTTTTAGTATACGACTACAAAGGAATTATTTCAGCAAATGTTGAAAAAAATCAATGTCACGTAACACTAACATCCCCTACCCCTATATAATTCAGCGTAACACTTCATCCCCTCCCTGTCTTTCGAGATACGTAATTTAAGGACTACCTCGTAGTATTATGGTTTGAAATCATCACTCGAACATTATCTGATTAGATTTATTTAGTCAAAAACAGTAAAAGAAAATGCATGTGACGTATGGGGGAGAATTGTCTGCGCCCCTTTTTCTTAAGCTCCAGAACTCTTACCCAATTTTATATTTTCACAATATATAATTGAAAGAGCGTTAAGTTAAAAAAGTTCGAAATTACCGTTATTTGAAAAACTATTTCGTTTTCGAGTTATCGACAGTGTATTTGCATCGGTCAACGCATCAGCAATCTGCACCATACCAGCAGGGTCGTCCCGGATTGGCGAATTCGAATTTTCTCGGTGCATTGGCAATGAAAATAATGTTTTTTATATTATATGTATATTTTGTTCTCGTTGGCTTGAGACAGTGAAAATGTTCTGTATATTTTTATTCTTATATATTAGTGAATAAAATGGTTGTCACGTACCTCGTCTGCATAATCTCACAGCCTTGAAATTCGGAGTAGCGGTGTTGCAGCACCTCCCTACCCGTTCACGTAGCGCGGGCACTGGTACGCACGCAAAGCAACAGTGTTCTTGTTGGGGATCAAGGATGTGCAGCCAAATTCAATCCCAGTTAATCCTTTTAATACAACACTGCAGTGCATCCACAGCACCTCCTCGTTACGAGATATACAAAGCCAGATTACCAGAACTCCAGCAGAAAATGTCTAAACGGATGCCAAAGTCAGGGTTAACCCAAATACTGTCTGCAAATCTAGCAGGGTCAATGTTTCCTAGAGGCAGTTCGGCACGCTACCAAATACAGTCTGCAAATCTAGCAGGGTCAATGTTTCCTAGAGGCAGTTCGGCACACTACCAAATACAGTCTGCAAATCTAGCAGGGTCAATGTTTCGTAGAGGCAGTTCGGCACACTAGGTAATCACTATCAGAACGGTGAGCGCCGCTTATCAGCGGCTTCTGCTCCGCCCTCTTCGTTGCAAGGGTGAGGGGAGGGGGGAAGCGGTGGGGTGACAACCCCTAATCCCCACCGCTTCCCCCCGCTGACCGTTACGGAACTCCCAGTTCCCGGGATGCTCTCTCGCGGCGGAGTATGGATCGACGATTATTAAATAATAATCGATTAATATGTAATCGACAACTTTTGATTAGATTAATATCCATCGATTAGTCGTTCCGAATCAATATTATCTTATTAATCTATGCGATTTATCTAATATAATCGATTAATTTTTAATGTTTTAAAAATGCCTAAATCGTTAACTTTTATTTTTTTTATATCAATTAATCATTTAGTAGCTTTCTAAGCGTTTAGAAGCAATTTAATCAATAATATTTGTTTATTACTTATTTAAATAATATTAATTTAACTCACGTATTCATGAGAAACGACTGTAACTCGACCTATGGTCTAGGCAAAAATTTCAACTACACTGATGAAAAAACACCTACGTCCAGGGTTGCCAGATGCCTTCTGGGAAAATACGACATTGGAGAGATAAAATCCGCCCAATGTCACCAAATAACCTAGTGGGGAAGAAAGGTGAGCGATAAATGAAACTGACTCTGACACTGGGACTGATAATTTGAAAATAGCTGCACGTTCACAAGGAGTTTTAAACTAAATTTTGTAAAAAAATATTATTTTCATAATAGATGCATTTTTACAAAGTGTTCAAAATTAAAACATTGTCCATTTCTGTCAGAATCATACTTGTACAATTTGCGGGAAAATGTTTTATTCACGATTTAAGTAAGCAAAAAATTGCATACCGCTCAAAATCGTCCCTAGGAAACACCAGAGTTCACCCAATGGACGGAATCCCGCCAATGCATTTCTTCCCGTGAGTCGACGCTTATATTTCGCACAATTGGCGGTATTCCGTCCAATATGACGTCCCTGTCTACCTCATCAAAATAAATGAACTATCTCGTTTGAACTGGTTCACTAAACGACCAATCGTATAAAGAAGCGTTCACATAAAAGAATGACTTTGCCCATCAGTAGTCTGATTGCAACATTACGGTTTTTAGTATTGGACAATATTATTGTTTGCGATTTTTTGTTGTCGTAGCCGAGCAAACTCATGGATGCATAATTCCAGATTCATGCCATATATTATTTGTAGTACTGGCAGAAGAATATTTGAAGGTAATAAGTAATTATTGTAATGTAATTTAATTATTAAATTAATGTAAAAGTTAATTTGCAATGTAAATTTATTTGAACAATGCATAAAACATTACAATTTTGTTACCTCTTTATTGTTAAATATATATTGTATCAACTGTGTCATTGAACGTTCTTGTGACCAGCTGCATACACTGAAAGAAGCTTCGTGATGTAAATGGAACGCTGCTATGCAGTTCTTGTTTGACTGTGGTTCTCGTTAGCTCCTTAAAATAAGACTTATTTAAATAATGCTTAATCAATCAGACTCGTTGAACATCAGTTTTTGTAATTTTGATACTCAGCTAACTTCCAGTGCATCGAATTCATCATTTCGTTTTTGTAGTAGACGTTATTTTGCCTAATGCTTGTGTACATGTTTCAAGAAATTGTTCTTCGTATATTTTTTCTTTTTCAGCGGCACTTTTTCTCGGTGTTAACAGGCGTCTGAAAAACTTGAAAACAATTAACTTTCAACACTTATGTTAATGATTTACAGACATACAACACACAACTGTAATACTGCATTTTTGGGTTTAGTGCCCTTAACTCAAAAAGAGTGGCGAACAATTTCAAGACAATTTTAAATCCGATGGCAGTTTCTAAATTGTGGAGGTGGATTGGATGGAAAACTTATCCGTCAGCCGATTTCCTCCAAAATTGGTATTCCTCATTTGATCTGTCTGATGTCACGCCCCATTGCATTTGAAATTGATATTTTAATTTTGGAGGGTACTTTACATTAAGCCCCAGAGACATGTTAAAAAATTTCCAAAAACGGGTCAAGCGTTTTTTATTTAATTGTGTAAAGGATGTTTAAGAGAATGGTGTAGGTCTCATGTTCGTTGAAAACTGATTTGCAAAAATCCAAAAAAATTTCAGCGTGTTCCTACAACTAAAATATCAAAACTAGAGATTTTTCTCTTCATAAAATCCATTCTTTAAACATATATTTTGAAATAAGCACCTGTACAATTTTTCGAAAAAATAGTATTTTCGCGTAATTCGGAGTAAAATATAGGGATTTTTAAATTTTAATTGATTATAAATATAGGGGTGTTTAAACAATGTTTTCTCAAAAACGGCTCCATTGTTTTTAATGATATTTTGTTGATGAATATTATGAAGGACGTTTACGAAAATGGTGCAGCACGCTTGTTGGTTAAAAACCCTGATTTTTCGAAAATTGAAAAAAATTAAAATTTCTTCGGCGTCTTCCTACAACTACAATTATGAAGATACAATTTTGTCTTCTTAATGAAATGTGTTAATCAAAAACATTATATTTGTCAAAAACGTGTTCTATCATGTTCTATCGTGTTTTTCAAAATCATATTCTATTTTTCAAAAACATGAGTTTTTTTGCGAATTTTTGTCACATAGGCAATTTTTATTGTCTAAAGCATTTTTTCTTAAAAATCGCACAATTTAATTAAAGTGGGACCTTAGCGTAAAGGACGCTTAAGAGAATGGTGCAGGTCTCATGTTCGTTACAATATCCAATTTTGCGGAAAAAAAAATTGTCGTCTTCCTACAACTAGAATTTAATGAGTGCATGCAAGAACTTTATATGTTACTTAAAAAAAAATTTGCCACTCAAAAACCTAACGTGTATCCCTCTATTTTCCCACAAAAACTCATATTTCAAAGTACTTCAGGAACCTCTCAATTGAGGAAGTGTCATTGGCCAGGAACCAAGCGTTTGCGTTTGTGCGTGAAAGAACCTTTTATGTTTTTTCCTTCTCGCAGCATGTTCTAGGTAAAAGGTTGGTATTACTCGGGCAACTTTTCTTGAACGATGGATTGACGATTTCGGGTGGAGTGGGGGTATTAG